GAGGGAAGGGAAGGAGGAAATGATGCAATCATATTATAATCTCAAAATATAAAACATAATAATAAACTCAAAATTAAAACAACACATACACACGCATTATTTACTCGACTACATGGTCCTCCTTAGTTTAACACTCAGGATATAAACTGCAATGGGTTGGTAACTTATCCATCTTGTTATCACTCTGTTTTCAAAACCCCTTTTTAATGCTCTTTTGTATCTTTATTTGTATGTGTTCATGTTGCACACATGCACAGGCACTTGAGTGTATGCATATATGCATGGTACCCCCAGACTGTAGAAAACAGTGTCAGTTCCCTGGACCTGTAGCTACAAGGAGTTGTGAACTACCTGACATGGGTGCTGGGAACTGAACTCCCTCTGAAAGAACAGCAAGAGCTCCTAACCTTGCCCTATCTCCCCAGCTTCTCCAATGCCCTTTACGTGCACAGTGAGGATTTGTTTAATTAATGAACTAATAACTCATTCACACAAACAAAATATCGCTATCTGTAAATTTACCAAATGAAGTAAAAACCATATGGACTCATGGGTATTAAGAAAGTGTGCTAGCCAGGCCCATAAACTTATCAGACATGCTAGACCACTGAAGGCTGCAACTCCTCATCTGGATAAAGAGGGCACCTGATTCTAGGGTACTGTGGCACCTGCCATGTGTCCCAGGATCTGAATTCCCAACTCTGTCCCACGAGGTCCAGTTTAGCATGGGCCACTCAATTGCTGTCTGTCTGGACCTGTGTCTGAGACCCTGGGTACCTGCAGCTGTGCACCTCCATCCCCTAAAACTTCTTCTCTCATCACCAAAGGGCCTTTTCCTCGCCGTTCTCTAAGCACACTGCCTCTACCTTCCATACAGCCTCTTTGAACCCCACAGCCTCTCTAACCCTTTTGTACTCTGTAGCCTACATACTGTCCTGTGAAGTCCCATGTGCGATCTGAAGTTACTATTAGTAACTGAAATGGAATCAAAGAACCTGTGACTATCAGCAGTCACACGGACAAGGGAAATCAAGATTGCTTGGTGAATTATAGCCACCGAAACAGATGGAACTTATGGATTTATTGTTTTTCAGGAAATTTGGACCTTATGACTAGACACAAATGTGTCCACCTGTGTTTCTGGTATAGCATGCTCCTGACACTGGTACGGCTGTAGGCTAACAACTACAGTGACAGTAAATGCCATGGAGATCATCTAGTAACCAAGTCTCCATAGTTACCGGGGGAGCCAAGCCACGCCTGCCTTGGGGCTCTCACTGCCATTGCACTATGTCAACTGTGCCCTCACCATTTATCTGAATTATTTTAATATTCTGCAGTTCTGTTCCACTCCATTGATCTCGCCTTTCTCTGATTTGCCTTCCGGCTTCCATGAAGTCATATTCTATTTAACAGATGTATTAAGTCTCTGTGTTTGGACTTCAAGGTGATATCAAAGGCACTACCTTCCAACTCATCACCTGGCTGCATGATAGTCATTTGCTGTCTCACAGCATTTGTCTTGTTCAGCTTACCACAGCTAGTTGACAGTAAATGCCATGGAGATCATCTAGTAACCAAGTCTCCATAGTTACCGGGGGAGCCAAGCCACGCCTGCCTTGGGGCTCTCACTGCCATTGCACTATGTCAACTGTGCCCTCACCATTTATCTGAATTATTTTAATATTCTGCAGTTCTGTTCCACTCCATTGATCTCGCCTTTCTCTGATTTGCCTTCCGGCTTCCATGAAGTCATATTCTATTTAACAGATGTATTAAGTCTCTGTGTTTGGACTTCAAGGTGATATCAAAGGCACTACCTTCCAACTCATCAGCAGGAAATTTAAGGCCCCCATACATGAGTGGAAACATGATTGACAGCATGGGATTGATTCCCGCTTGCTGAATAGAGCAGGAAATTTAAGGCCCCCATACATGAGTGGAAACATGATTGACAGCACAGAATTGATTCCCATTTGCTGAATAACTAGGCTCCGCCCACCTCACTATTCTCTCTTCTGTTGCGAAGTTCCATAACTAACTGCAACACAATTTTCCCTTCCCTAATCAATTCATGCTTCTCTGTTTCTGCTTCGTAGTTTGTGCCCAGCATTTCCACCAACCCAGTTTTTAAGGATATGGTCTGACAGCCCCAAATCCATCCTCAGCTCTCCAGAGGAGAAGACATGGTGCATTAGTTGAAGTCTCTTTAAGTTTGTGCCCAGCATTTCCACCAACCCAGTTTTTAAGGATATGGTCTGAGAGCCCCAAATCCATCCTCAGCTCTCCAGAGGAGAAAACATGGTGCATTAGTTGAAGTCTCTTTAGCCATTTAATTACCTTGAACTATGACATTAAATCTCAGACTGCAATTATTTGTTCAGTGTTCCCTGCATTATTTTCTAAATGTTTTTTTTTTGGAATTTTTATGTTATAATTACTAGAATGTCTAGAGAGTATCTATTCCTTCTACTACTAATTATATAGTTATTTATGGTAGCTAATTAATGAATGGTTATCAAATAAATAAGCTCCCACATAACTGCCCTCACCAAGGAACAGAGTCACTGAAAACCATACTGTTCTTTTTCAGTACCATCAACATCACTAATACTACAAATGACAACGTGTATTAAAACTAAGATTACTGGTTCTGGGATTGATGACTAAAAGAAGTGAAGCTTTTAAAAGGAGAGAAATGGTGAGAAAAGAGGGTAATGGTGACAGACTTTTCAAGTCACCTCATCTTTCTCTGACTCCATTGTTGGTGCTTACGGAGTGTCTGGGTCCCCAGGTCCAAGGTATTGAAAATGAGAGTCAGTGGTCTCAACCAGGCACCTTCTGTGACTCCTGCCAAGCCGAGATGAGAGAGAATGCTAGCAAGACCAGCTGCTTTGCCTTCATGCCTGCCCATGGGATAAACAGATCTCAGGGAATGATTGCCCTCTCAAGAGTATTTTTCTAACTTGCCTTCAGGCCTCCAGTGCTTAAACGTCACAGCACATCACACTGAGTGACTCATCAAACCACATCTAATCAACACAGGCAACTGAGAAACTGTGAACACATGCATTTAACACCCATTTTGAGTCACTCTTTTCTCCCCAGGTACAAGGCAGGAAGAAAGTGGCCCTAACACAGACCAGGCAAACACAAAGAAAACTTGGCTTCAATTCCCAGTTCACCTCCTCTTTCACCCTTGTGGAAATGGTTTCCAGAAGCCGCCAGTCCAGACTGGCACCATGGGAATGAAGATTTAACAGCATTAGCATCCTGTCAGACAATGTATTGCCTAGAAACCACTTCCTGGTTTCTAAGTCCTTCCTTCTGTCAGACACAAACAAGCCAAGACTCACGGCCTGGAGCCATGTATGCATTGGACATTTACTAGGAGAACAGAACAATGAACCCCAAGTCTGAATTGATTTTAGAGACCTTCTAAGCACTTCCATGCTGCATCTAGTTCAACCTCTGTACCCCAGAAAACTCTTAACAACCCACATTTCTGAAGGACTCTAAAGGGAAGGACAATCTTATGTTACACCAAGAATGGCCCAGTCTGACCTCCACTTGTCTCTGTTTACATAGAGTGGCCCAATCAGTCTTCAGGTTGGAGCCACCCTCCTCAGTCCTGTCAGGGCCTGATTTGCCCACAGTCACATACTTGCATACCAAACACCACTGGTGAAACGCAGAGGGAATGAGCAAACAAGTGACTCTTAAGAGCTTTTCCTCTCTTGGCTACTTCCTCTGCCTCCACACCAAAGCCAGTAACTGTTGTCTATTGGATCAAGAAGCAAGTCAGAATCTTTAACTTCCTGAGCCTGGTCCACCAAGGCAAGGATCTTTTGTCCATTTTGTTAATAGATGTGCCCCAATGTCTATCTGGAATATTGCCGGTCAGACTATAGGTCCTCAGTTAAATACTTCACATTAATAAATATCAGACTATCGTCTGCCCCCAAGTTTACTCCTTGTTTACGGATAGCTTAACCCCTAAGTAAATGTTAAATGCATTTGAGATTAATTGTTTTTAAAGGTTGAAATACACAGTGTGCATTTGTCCCTTCTCCTGAATCTCTTCAGTCTCTCCCTGTGTGAGCTGAGAAGCAGAAAGGCACTAGACTACATTATTTTTATACTCCATAAATGTCTTCTTGGTATAATAATTAACATAATACCATCTGCTTCTGTGTAGATTTGGAATATGAAATGGACATAGTAAAATGAGTTTAAGTCTTCTGTAAAATCACTTTCAAGGAGATTTTTCAATTAAGTTGCTTATCGTCAACAAACCCACAAAATAATTTTCTCTCAGAGTAATATGTTCAACCTGTGACTTGCCTAGAAAATAGCATGCATTGTTTATCAGACAGTGTAAGCCGCACAAGCCATTAGACTCTGCTTTGTTTGTCTCCGTGCTTGAACACCAGGAACCCCAGAGCTCAAGCCAGTGTTCAGAATTATTGCAGACATAGTTTCAATGTAAATACCCACAGTGGGTTTCATAAGCACAACTCTTCACTTGAGTGTGCATGGGTCCCTAGTGATCCCCTGATATCTTCTGGCTCAATCCTTCCCACTTTATGTGCAAGGTTCTACAGTGAGTACTGAGGCGGCCCCCTTTCTGCCCAAGTTCTTTCCCTCCATTTCTGTCATGTACTTTGCAGCCCTGCTTTGTGCTCTGCCTTGGGGATTTGGTTTCCTTACTTAGCCTGTTGAAGCCTTTCCTCTAATTAATTAACAGATAATAGTGTTAATAGCTCAATCTTTGCCATTTCCCAAGTCACAAGTTGATGCCCAATGCCTGAGATGATCATTTCATATTTTCTATTTCTTATAACCACCCCCTCCCACAGAGTCCCTAACTTGTTTCTCTCCCTCATGTGGTGACCTTGCTGCTTAGCACACTGAGGAAACGAACATCCTAAAAGGCTAACTACAGCCTCCCACCAACCCAGCCACTCAGCAGCTATGGTACCTCTTCACTGCCTACCTACCTACCATCTAGCCTCTTCATCTGAGACGTCTTCTTAGATTGTCCAGAAGCCTACGTGGCTTATTTATCAAAGATGTCCTCTCCGTCACTACTGTCTTTCTCTTATGTGTAACCATTTTTTTCTCTGTCTTGTGAATGTTTCCATAGCCACACAAATACACTGAAATATGGAGAGAGAAAGGGAGGAATATAAATGATATGCATATATCACTTTTGCTCTAATTCTTCCAACACTTTTTAAACTCCATATTTAAACTCCAAATTGTTATCCATATTTGATTTCTCTTTTATTTTATTTATTATTATTTCTCTATTATATGCTTTTCCTAAAGCCCCTCCAATCAAGATTTTATCTCAACCTCTACCATCATCAGATCCAAAAGGCATCCTTCTCTTGACCTAGTCATGGCACATATGCTTCATCACTGATTTTTAAGACCACCTCAGTCTTTGGTGTAGCTCCTTGCACTTTGGTCATTCCTTCTCCAGCTCCATTTTGGTTCTTTTTTTTTTCTCCTCTCAGATACAGATATTAATGTGCTCCAAGATACAACCATGGACTTCTGCGTCCTTTAGTCATATCATGCCCCTCGATGCTTTCACTTTACCCTGTGGCTTAAGTACTCTCTATACACTGAAAACTGCAGACTCTTGTGTCTAAGCCATTTCTTTGCTAACCTTTAGCCTAGTATGTCCTATCATCCTTTCTTGGACATCTAATGCAATGAAATTTAGCCTTGATTCTTAGTTCCTATTCCCCTTAGCTTCTCTCCATTCTTGGCAACAAAATTAGCACCTCCTTCTGGAGGAAACTGATCCCTTCCTGGGATGCATTCACTCCCTAATGCCTGCCTGCAGCACTACACACTAGTAGATGCCTTAACTCCTTTTCCTTTCTTAGTACTGAAAGCACCAAAGGTTAACTGAACACTTCCATCTCTTATTTTAACCCAATCAAAACACTTTGAAAGCACCAAAGGTTAACTGAACACTTCCATCTCTTATTTTAACCCAAACACTCTAATTTGTCCCCTTTTTCTGTAGCCTCTCAATAAATTAAATTTTGGAAGATAAAATACTGCATGAAACATGCTAGAAACATCCTTAGTAGGGAATTCAGGAATGCAGAAGTGATGACTAGAGTTATAACAGCCATCTTAGACTATAAAGGTAAATTGGGGATATACCCTATCAGTAAGCATCACTAACTAAAAGGACAGCTACTTTGTGGAACACACTATGTCTACACTGCCAACCACCAGACTTCAGTAACATGAGACATAATCTTCTCTTCTGTATAGGCAACTATTAGGATTTCTGCCCGCTGATACAGTATAGTCCACATGAAAGACATTAGCATCTGCTCCTAGCAGGGTCTCTCTTGACTTGCTTTGCCCATCCATGGGTTCTGAGTTCTAGTCTTATATATCTGACCCCATGAGCTAGAACTTAAGTTACAAAAGAACTCACAATTTTCACCCTCAATAGCAGTCTTCCCTGAGTTAATGTTTCTCTAGACAGCGCTAAGGAGCCCAGAAATAAGGGAAGACTACCCATTAAGCCTGACCACTTGTATACTTATTGGTTTAGGTACACACATGCATAAGACACTGGAAATGTGAACCTCTTCTGAGGGACTGTCCGGGAAATCACAGGTTGTTTTCCTGTGTTCAGACACTGAGATTACAACATTAGATGGCAGTAGTCTCACAAAGAGTGAAGCTTCCAAGCATGTGTCACATGAAGCTGACATGCTGGAATCCAGTACTTACTCTTCATAAGCCAACATTAAAACCTGATTTGCTTAGCAGAGCAACAAAGATTAAAATATGTTATTACAAACAAAAGAGCTGTTGTGAACTACTGACTTAATATACAAATGTTGTGAAACAAAACTGAAAAAAACATGCTTTAAATCGTGCTGGCTGTAGGCATAAGGGCTTGATAACCCGGTAATCCAGTGCTTAAAGTAGCTTCAGAAATAGTTGTTGAGTAGAGGAAGGCTATTTGTTACTCTGCCTTCAAAGATGTCCCTCTGGGACATTTAACCATCATGCCTGTCATTGTCAAATATCACACCTGTGTATCAGTGCCCTAATTGTCTTCTTCCATGGTTTGGGTGTATGCTCCAAGGGTTCACATGCTGATAGTTTGGTCCTCAGTGTGTAACACACAATGATAGAACTTTTGAGGGGCATGGCTCATTTCTGGCTCTTCTCCTCACTCTGGGTTTCTGCTTTGCCATGTGATCTCTCCCTTCTGCCTAGGCTCATGCAGTTATGATGCCATCTGCCTGAGATCATTACTACAGTGCCTAGCTAATCTCAGTGCCATGTCCTTGATCTTCCAGAGCTATGTGCTAAAGGAAATTCTTCTAACTAATTCCGCTGTTATGCCTTTGGTCCTCCAGAGCTGTGAGCTAAAGGAAATTCTTTTTTCACTATGAAGTTCTTAGCCTCTGTTATTTTATTATAGTAATAGAGAGCAGACAAATATACCTCCCAACTGAGAATAACAGCATGAAGTACCTTCCTTCAGAGTCTGACTACAGAGGTAGCCAGGAGGTAGCAAAGGCAGATTATTTACTTATTTTTCCTGTTTCTTCTTTAGGACAAAT